AAGGACAATTGCATGGGCAGCCAGAACTTTAGTATTTAATGATATACCTTCAGTGTTTTGTCAGGTTTCTTCACAGTTGCCCTTCCATGTCCTAGTTTTCTTTAGAGTTATATAAATTATTTGTGGTCATAATTTTTGTTTTCTTAATGTTTGGCCTTGCCTGCCCTCCTTGCAAGTTGGAAACTGTCAATGACACTTCTGAGCCGATCATTCCAGAGTTGATCAATTGGAGACATATTTAGGTTGCTGGAGACAGTAAGAGCGGCAGCTGTAGAAATGGAAGAGACTATTATTGCTTATACTAGGAGAAGGTACAAGTGGTGTTTCTGCAGTTAGCTGCATTGCAGAAAAATCACACAGCCAGTGTGCGTTATCACACAGCAGAATTCCTGGCTATTTGATAAGCTGGCTAGGGCTTCTGGGGGTTGGAGGCCAAAACAGCTGGAGGCCACAGGTTGTACAGGCCTGACCTAGGGATTCCCAAGGAGAAAACTTCACTCAGCATTTGTACATCCTCAAGCTTGCTATTATGATAAACATCCAACAGTAGTTGACCATAGAGTTGTGTTGGAGAACCTTCAAAATACATGTTCTCTCAAGTAAAAAAAAAATAAATTTGCTGTTTTTTCTACTTTTGCAGCTGTCGTGTGCTCCTAATCCCGATGATTGTGAAGGGCTGAGATACCATGAAAGATATATAAACTGGCCGATATGTGTAGTGGGAGAAAGCAACAGCAGATCTGATGTTGCTTGAGGGAAGGGTTTTCTTTTGATTGGTTAGAAGGGTATGAATGTGGGGATGAAGAAAATGTTCTGGTGTTTCTGAAGAGGTTTTCTCTGCTTATTTTAAAAAAATAATAGTCATATCATTTGGAAAGGAGGTTCTCTAAATTGAAAAGGTTCTGATGATTTATGGTTTACGTTGCTTTAAAACTGATGCTAAATTCAGTATTATCACTATTTGGTGGACATCAACATTGTTGGAATATATCTTTGTGATCTCCAAGGATTCCTCATGTATCTGGCTCCCTGCTCACCTTTAAATTGGTTTCAGTTTACACTAATAGTTGAGAAACACAACCCTGGTCTAAATTAAAAATGGATAGTATTTAATTTGTAATGAAATGACACTCTTTGAATCTCTATGTTAGCTGCTATTGCCTGTCTATTCTTAATATCTATTTCATCTTTTAAAAAGTGAAATGAACTGAATTTTGAAATGTCATCATTGGAAATGTATACATAAATGGCTGTAGCTATGGTTCTATGTAGGTTTTAGCAAATATTTAGTGATTTTTAAATGACTTATCAGTTTTTTTAAAAATTGAAAAAGGTATTAATATGCTGCTCACTTAGTAGATTCTAATTACTTATTAGTGTTTACATCTCTACCAAAGTGAACAGCTGCTGACTGGAAATGTCAAGGAAATACTTCATTATTGTGGTTTAATCTTTTCCAATACTCCTCTCATTCTGAAAAGTTTCTGGCTGCTATTTAGACATGTTTGTATGTTGACTTGCTAGTTAGGATGGACCTCAAACAAGTGTTAAAGACTGTGTTTGTGGGGTTCTTTTTGGTCAGAGAAAGACAGTCCTTTCACAAAACAATATTTCATGCGCTTGAAAAATATGATCAAAATATTTTGATATATGATGAAAGAATAGTCACACAAAGAAATATACACATAGTGAGTGTAACAAAATACACTCATTATGTGTATGTTTCTTTGTGTACCAGATTCTTTGGATTCTAGAATTTGGTTGAAATCTAGCATTTCCTCCTTTCAGCTTCAGCTAGTATACAGGCATTGTGTATCTTGTGTATCAGGGATGTGTATCTTTGGTTGGGGGGGGGGGCAATATGAGAAAGTATTTAATTAACTTATATCATCCCTGTTCACCACAGTTAATGCACAATGATGCTAATGATGAGATGACACTACTACTACTAATATAACCATATTCAACCAAAACATACATTGCACTAAAATACTTGCAGTAAATTCAAATAAATAATAAATCTCAGTTGGGTATGGATTGCCAGGCTGCCAGCTGGCCCAGAGCCATGTGTCCGAGGAGTTGAGTGTGGTTGGAAAGGGGCCACGTCTATGGTTACATGCTGAAGATTCACATGGAACCTGACACAAAATCACTCATAGATGGGTTGATTCTACGGTAGGGTTTTGTATATTGCAGAGCAGTTCCTTTTCTGTGAGCTGCTGAAATCAATAATAAGGAAAGGAGAGAACCTACCAGTTTAAGCTTAATTCAGCAGCGCATAAGCTTTGCTGCTCCAAACCTTTAAAAATAAAAGGGTTCCCAGAGGGACAACAGAAATGTAGTTTCAATGAAGGAGTTCTTTTTGGTTCCCACTAAATTCACTTATTATAGTGGAGATTCAAAAGAATGACCTGTCCCAAACAGTTGAATACTGCAGAGGGCTCATGTGGGGTAGTTGAGTATTTCTGATAGTCTATTTTCAAATGTAGTGCTTCAGGAGGCCATGACTAGAGCTGGAAAAAAGTTGTAATTTTAGATACCAGTTTCCAAAATGTCCCAGCCAGCATTGATACACAATGAAGGCATTTCAAGAAAAGGGATGCACATTTTTTTCCAGCGTTGGAGAACCAAGTGGGTGATGGTTTAAAAAAAAACAGGTTCTTTCCTTTTTTTGAATAAAACTGGATAGCTGTGTTTTGACATTCCTTTCCAAGATGTGTTAAATTAGCCCCCTACTTTTTATTTGACTTATATTTTATGCATTCATATTAAATTGCAACAAGCTTTAAAATTCTATCACCTGTCACACGTGTTTGTTGAGAAGGCAACTTTATATTTAGATGGTTTTGTGAACAAGAGAGGATTGTACTGTGTTTTGCATAATAAGAATACCAAGTCTAGAGGTTACACAAATATTACGCAGTTTTGACGTGAAAACCCATGAGCATATTTCCCAGAAGTAATGTTTGGCTTTCTATGTGTAGAAGAAGAAGATTAGATGAACATATCCACGGTCCTTGGGCATTGCTTCTTTGAGATGTTTATTGAGTGTGAGGTAAACATCCTTCTCTTCAACAAAAGCTGTTGAGAAGCTGTAACCTTGCAAGTAAAAGGTAATATAATCAACAAGAATAGCCAGCAAATGAGACTTAAGGAGCCTCTTAATATAATGCTTCTAAAGTGACTTTCTATACCACAGCTTTAAATAAACCCAAGACTGTTTCCCAGCAGTGACATTTTCCCCCAAGGTGCAATATCTTAGTTGTCACTATGATTGATGTTTCCTTTGAACAAATGACCCTTTTAAACTAGATAAAACTGAGTATCTTACAATAGAGGTGCCATGCTCTAGCTTTTGTTTTATGAAGAAAAACTGTTCTCCAAGGAAAGTGGGGGATGTTATGACGGCTGTCAGCTTTAGCATAATTCTCATCTATTGAAAAATTAGTTGTTTTAATAGCAGGATTCAGTGAAGTGTCCTATAGCAGATAAAATGAAAAAAAAAATCAATTTTGTAAGACAAAGCTCTGGTTATAGCACAGCATATTAATAAAAACTGCTAGAAAGAAGTGAACTCCAACTTTTTTCTAATCCTATGCCAACATGTTTTGGTAAACCTTACCACTTTGGAGACATTTGTTAATGCTTGTATGGGATGAAAATGGTGTAATCAGTAGAGGTGTGCAATTCAGCCAAAAGGCATCCTGTTCTAGGGTCCATTGTTGGCTGATCCCTCATTCTGTTTACCGGGAATTTACTTGAAAGGGGAGGGGTGTTGCCATTTTCATTTGGCAAAGATTCGGCCCATTGGCTACAATGGGACATTTTAAAGGCTCAATCCTCAATCATTTTAAGGCCTATCTCCATGAGACCTACCTCAGTTTTCGACCCCATTTACAACTGCAGGCCCATCAAGTTTCAAAACAATTCACCAATCTACTGATTTTTTTTAGAATTATTTAAAGTTTTAACATAACATTTTTTCAAATAAGACAAACCGCAACAGAGGGGGTTCTGCGAATTGTAGTTGCTGGTTGTGTCCATTCTTAGCCAATCAGAGCATGGACACAACCAGGCTTTTTATTGGATGAAACAGAGAGAGAGAAAAAACTTCAAATCCCATCATGCACTGAGAGGAACTTTTCAATGCCCTCCCTATGCAAGTGCTGCTGGGAAAGCAAGTTCCCAGCAGAGCCCCTCTGGAGGAGGAGCCTAGGAAACTTTCCAAGAAGAAATGGACACTGCTGCTACTTGTGGTTGGGTGGGGGGAGGGGGGAAGATGTGGCAGATCCCTGCCTCAGGTATATTGCAGACTTAACTCTTTCCTGTCCTGCAATTGGATAAAATCCTGCTCCCTTAATCCATTTTGCCAGGCTTTTCAGCTCCCTCCTCCCCATTCTGTTTTCAAAGATTATATAAAACAGACAATCAAATACAACACATCAGTTTCATTCAAACTGATTTGGGCTCAAGCCTAGTAATCGGCTTGATTGTTGCTGTGTGCTTTCAAGTCATTTCTGACTTATTGCAGCCTGATGATGATGATGATGATAACGACGACAACAACTTTATTTTTGTACCCCATCTCCATCTCCCTGAAGGGACTTGGGACGGCTTACATGAGGAAAAGCCTGATCAACATAGTTAAAATATGAAACATTAAAATTCATAAAACAACAACATAAGACAAATAAACAACAGCATAACACAATATAAAAATAACCATTGAGTAACAACCAGATGAACTTATCATGGGATTTTCTTTGCCAGACTTGTTGAAAGCAAGTTTGCCAGTGCCTTCTGCTGAAACAGAGTGTGAGACTTACCTAAGGTCACCCAGTAAGTTTCTGTGATTGAATGGGGATTCAAACTCTGAACTCCAGAGTCCTACCCCAATGCTCAAGCCAAGCTGGCAAGTATTGTACAAGTATTGAAATATGCATCTCATTAGTTTTGTATATGTATTTCTGATTACATTTTCTTTGAAATATTTATTGAAGGTATGGCGTGTTTCATCACATCTTGAAGAGTGTTGAAGAATCTGAAGGTGGCCTTGATAAATTCACGAAGAGTTACCTAACATTTGGAGTCAACAGATTTGTGGATGGTGGAATATACTGCAAAGAATGGGCTCCTGGGGCTGAAGCAGTGTTTCTCACAGGAGACTTCAGTAAGTCTTTTCAGTCACATGCATTTGTTTTACAATCAAAATTTAAATTGTTAGCTCTGATTTCTTGATTGTGCTTAATGCAGTTTATTTCAAAATAAGAATTGTAAGATTGAGAATTTAACCTACCATTCTTAGTTGTGGCCAATTTTTTTTTAAAAAAAATACCAGAGTATGCAATCTTGGTTGTCAATAGGATTGCCAGGTCAAGGCTATTCCAAGCCCTGAGATTGTAGTGCCAAAACCAGAGCTCCAACTGACTCCTTATAATGTCAGTGAGTGCAGGCTGGATGTTACAAGAGGTAGCCCTAGGTGAGATCATTAAGCATATATTAAGTACCAATCATAGTTTCATAGTGTATTAAAACATCAGGTCAAACAAATGAGGAAAATATATTTGAGTAAATATACAGAATGGGGGATGCCTGGATCTTCAGCAGTACATGTGAAAAAAGATCTCGGAATCCTCGTGGACAACAAGTTAAACATGAGCCAACAATGTGATGTGGCAGTTTGTCCTGCATAAATAGGAGTACAATGTCTAGATCCAGGGAAGTCATGCTACCCCTTTATTCTGCCTTAGTCAGACAATACTGTGTCCAATTCTGGGCACCACAATTGAAGAGAGATGTTGACGAGCTGGAATGTGTGCAGAGAAGCGCAACTGAAATGATCAAGGGTCTGGAGAATAAGCCCTATGAGGAGTGGCTTTAAGAGTTGGGCTTGTTTAGCCTGCAGAAGAGAAGGTTGAGAGGAGACATGATGGACATGTATAAATATGTGAGGGGAAGTCATAGGGAGGAGGGAGCAAGCGTGTTTTCTGCTGCCCTGGAGATTAGGATGCAGAACAATGGCTTCAAACTACAGGAAAGGAGATTCCACCTGAACATGAGAAAAAACTTCCTAACTGAAAGCTGTACAGCAGTGGAACTCTCTACCCCAGCGTATGGTGAAAGCTCCTTCTATGGAGGCTTTTAAACAGAGGCCTGATGGCCATCTGTCAGGGGTGCTTTAAATGCGATTTCTTGCTTCTTGGCAGGGGGTTGGACTGGATGGCCCATAAGGTCTTTTCCAACTCTACGAGTAATTAAGAAACAGAAGTTAATAGTTCAATTAATAAGCAAAATACTTCAGCTTGGTCTTCCTTGGTTCCTTCAAATAAAAACTGAGCACTAATATTTTAGATGATGTGTTGTACTCTAGACTGACATCACACAGTGTTAAAAGTTTTGAATCTGTTCATACAGAAATTTTATTTTATTTTTATTTTAAAACGTTTGAAGGAGTTGGCAAATTGCTTAATAACAGAGACAACCAAACTCAATACCATTTTGGCTATTGGTTGCTCAAGCACCTTGGTCAAGGGCTGCAGAAGGGTGGTTCCTGAAATGTGTATGGTCTGCTGTTTTCCACACATATTGTGAATGACAATTTGTATGTCTCCATTCCCACACATTGGAATGGAAGAGTGTTAGGTAATCTTGTGTTCAATATATTAGGTTTGCCAGATTCTGTGCTCCTAAAATGACTCTTTTACTGGTGATATAACACTTAGAAGTACATATATGCATTTCCAATGCCCCGAAAAGTCTATAGACATACTTCAAAGCAGCACACTTGCCCTGAGTTTTCTTCCCACAAGGACTGGAGAAGATTGTCTATATATTGATCTTTAGGAACTCTGGTTGATAAAGTAAAACTGGCCAAACAATGAGCAGTAGAATTACTTTGTTGTATGAGTATGTTTGGGGGAGGGGTGCAGGCAGGAGAAAGGGTAGTCCTATTTATTTGGTTGTAAATAACACTGAAACAAATAGAACTTCTGGATATATGTAAGGTGAATGGAGAAACACCCACCAACAATTGAAGCTTTTCTCTGTGGTTAGGTTTCCTTTCTCTTTATATATAGCTTTCTGTACCAGAACTCCAGATCTTTGTTCATTGTTAGTTAACTGTAAGGCGAAGAAAATTATAACTTTTTTGAAACCCTCATTTTCTTGGGAATGCTATAAAATTGTAGAAGGTGAAGAATTAATACATCGGAGCTTCAAGAAAAGAGTTCAGATTTATTAAAACAGTAAAACTATGTAATTGTAAATGGAATGAGATCCCATTAAGAAAGAACAACATGATTACAAAGGTGAACAAATGGATAGATGTGAACAGCAGGAATTTATTATACAGACTGGAATATATAGTATTGTAGCAATCAAGATGAGAAATATTAAAGGTCAAACAAGCAGAAGTAGAAAAAAGAAAAGCGCAAATTTGAACATTGTTTCTTAAAATAAAAATGACAAGATTTGACAAGAGAATCAATCCAGTGGGAAGAGAGAAGTCAATGATGGCACTAAAATACAACATGCATTCAGGAAAGAATAACATGATGCTTAACATGGAATAAGAAAAGTAGAAAATGATTGTTTCCGCCTCATAAATAATCAGCAGTCTCATCCCTACTGAATTTTAGATAGTACCAAGGTAGCAGGCCAGACATACCTGAAGGACACAGAAATGCAATAACAATGAGCAGAATAAAAACATTAATAAGAAATGCAATCTTGAGATGTTTTGAGAGGTTTTGTCATACAGATTCAAATTTACTAAAAGCTTAAAAGAGTGAATAAATTTGCAGTTTGTGAAAATAAGATGGATCAAGAACAATGGATGTGAGAAGCCTCCAAAGACTTGAGTAAAATAAAAGAAAGAGCCACTGGCAAATGCTAAAAGAACAACTAAACATACAAACAAAGCTAATTGAAAACTGTCCATAGGGAGTAGGGAGGGAAATGCATGGAAGAGAATCAAAAGAAACATCAGCATCTGTAACAATAAGGGCTTGATTCATCACTAAGAGAACACAAATTCATCAAAAATGTCTTACTGTTTCTAGAGCAAAAAGGCCAAAAGCCAAATTGAAGAGGAGTAAATAAGTGATTGAAGATGTTCAGATTTAATAAACCAGTTGGAGGGAAAGTGGAAATTGGGAAATGCAGACAGGCTTGCAGAAGGAAGCAAATATCTACACTGCTTTCTGATCAGACAGGCTTCATGTGTAAATCATACCTAATAAGTGAAGTTAAAACACCAATAACATAAATTGGTTGTATTTATTTTATTGATAAACTTACACATTTCTGTAAGAGTCTGACATGGATGTTTTCATTTAAGATATACTCTACTTTGAAATATTCCGATTTAGATCATGGAATTTATCATTATTAGGGCCTAAATACATTGGCTAATGTTTTAAAAATCCCAAAAGCAAACCTTGGTTTTTCCATTTTAAATAAGGGATGTCATTTTACTGTGTCATAGCATATAGTGAGAGTTGAGATTTTCCATGGAGCCATGAGGAGAGGCGGGTAAAAAATAAAAGTATTATTATTATTATTATTATTATTATTATTCAACTCTCTTCTGATTGGGTCTGACTCAAGGGGGAGGAGTTGTAGGAGAAATAAGTAGCTTGCCAGCTCTGACAGAGAGGGGAGAAGGAATGTAATCTTGAATGAAGCAAGATAAGAGAGAGGTTAGGATTTCAGTCAAGGAATAGTGGGTATGTTTTCTAAGTGAGTTAGCCTGGAAGAGATTAGTTTAGAACAAGGGTCTTCACAGGAATCTGGCTAGGGAAGTCAGAATGAGAGCCTGTTAACTTGTGCTAAGGCAGAGTACAAGTGGGAATTATCTCTCAGGTGTCAGAGTAGAGATTCTGTGTAACAGCTAGGGGAAATTGGCTGGTGAAACTCACTGCTACATAATATAAAAGGGTAGAGTGAGGAGAAATTAGCTCCAGTTATAGGAAAGTAACCCTTCCTGAAGAAACTGTTTGTTTAATAAGAAGATTGTGCTTTAGAAAGCATTTAAGCTTATGTGCCTTGTAGTAGTCTGTTGTTTACCTCATGTTCTTCAATAAACTCATTCTATATTTCATTGTTAATTAGCCTCAGCCGTGATTCCTTATATATCCTCAGGTCTGATAATCCTATACACTTTTACAGTCCAGTCACATTTCATAGGGAGCCAGAAGAAATAAGCAGTGTATTGGGAGAATTCACCTTAGGAACTGCAGTCAAATAATTCCTCATAATTTAACATTGAGGTGGTGGCAGCTTACCAAACATTACACACGCACGTTACAACAACAACACACGTGTTGAATCGCTCTGGGTCTGACAGCAGGGATTAGAAACGGTGTTCTGTCACATTCACACACCATTCTCTCTTATCACGTGTAATAATCCGCATCCTGCCTTTACACTGTTCCTCTCCATTCATACAGGAAAGATGCCTTAGCACTTCCTTTGGGCATGATCATTTGAAGATATCAGTTGGTTTCTATTCAGCCTAACCTTTTAGCTTAATAATAATAACTTTGCACTGAGATGGCAATTTTTTCCCAACTTTTAGCATTACATCCATTTACATTTTTATTATGTATGTTGGTTTTCCTTCTTCTCCCTTTGGGTAACCAGAGGCAAAGAATACAGATTCTGTACCTTTACAATCTGTATCGAAAAAGGACCTCATGCTTGTGCTGTGAAAATCTCAAATGTTGTTAAAATACTGAATACATTTCTTTGTAAACTGAAAACAGCTCTTTCCAGATTCAAATAAAATTAATCAGTAAGGTGTTTAGAGTGAATCTTCTTTAAGCCTTCTAAATGAAAAGTGTGTCAGTTGCCCAACACATCTTATTCATCATCAGTCAAAGTAGAAAATTCATTCCCAAGGGGGCATTTAATGGAATCAAAAGGCCTAAGGAATGGAAATTTGTCATTAAATGCAGATGGGTATTAGGAGTATTCCTGTGAGGAATTGAGCTGCAAACCCCTCATAGACCTAAGAACGGATTGTTATGTTTTAATATTAAATTATTTTCACCTTCTTTTACATTTCAATTAGGTTGAAATACTTAAAATACCTAAAATTTAGCCTGTATAAATTTTGCTCAATGCCTAGCAGGCATTAAGGGCTTCAGAAATCAATTATATTACAGAATA